CTGGCCCCGCAGCCGCACCACCGAGGCCTCCTGTCCCCCGGGGGCACCAGCTGCAGCTACCCCAGCGAGGACAGCTCGGAGGACGAAGACGACGAGGAGGAAGAGCAGGAGGTGGACGTGGAGAGCCACAAAGCCCCCGAGGGCGAGGAGGAGGAGGAGGAGGGTCGGGACCCCGACGACGACGAAGACGACGACGAGGAGACGGGGGTCCTGCTAGGGGACCCCTTGGTCGGGGGCGGCCGGTTTCTCCAGGGCCGAGGGCTGTCGGAGAAGGGGGGCAGCCGGGACCGCGCGCCTCCTGCCGCCGGCGCTTTCCCACTGACCCTGAACTCCTCCAGGCTGCTGCCAGAGGACGGGAAACTGGGGGACCCCGGCGGCTCGGACTTGCCCCCGCCCCCGCCCCCACTCCTGGCCTCCCAGAAAGCGAGCGGCGGCGGGAGCAGCAGCCCCGGCAGCCCGGTCCACCATCCATCACTGGAGGAGCAGCCCTCCTACAAAGATGTAAATATCCCCTTTAGGCTCCTTCAAGCTAATTATTATTATTTAAATGCACCTTTAGGCTGAATTGGTTACATATGCGCAGGAAAGATGAATCACCAGATTTCCCCACAGAAATGAAATATTCAATGTGTTTGGGAGGGCTGCTTTCCTGCCAGTGGTCCTCCATAAAAATGTGGCTTCTGGTCTCTTTCTTGCAAAGTCTTTCCAAGGCTTTTAGGCCTCTATGCTCTCCTATAGTTAAGTTAGCTGCTTGAAGAAGTTGGAAAAGACCAAGGCCTCCCTCTAACCCACCCATCTCCCTTGCACACACACCTCCAGCTGATCACAGTTGTTCCCCCAGAAGCAGAGGAACCACAAAACTGGAGCAGTCTGAGTAATCCTGTCTCCTTTCTGCTCTATAGTTCAGCGCCTCCCCCTACCGTGATTAAAAAAGAAAGAAAAGAAAAATCAAAATACATTGACTTTGAAAGTTAAATTCAGTTTTATTTGAATGCTTTAATCAAGGTTGGAACCCCAGAGCTCTCTAACCAGAACAGACACATCTGTAAGATATTGTGTCCAGTAAAACAAAAGATAGACTCTTCAGCAAGACCAGCTTCTCCCAAACCAATCTCCACCCACATGAACGTGCTACCTGGGATCCCAAAAGACCAAAGTTAAGTTTGAATGGCTCGGCATTTAGTATTCACTCAGGTGTGCATAGAAAACACTCTCAAGGACTTTGGAGTGAAGTGACTTTGTCCCTAATGCAGTGTAGATTTGACAAATAACATGGTGTGTTTACTTACAGAGCATATAATAGGTGTGCGTTTAATTAAGATATTACTTTTTAAAGGATAGTCTAGGTACATGTAGTTATACACATGTGTTTTAGTACAACAACTATTCAAAGAAGATACTCATCAAAAATGAAGTCTCCTGAGGCCCCATGGAGTCACTTTTATTGATGCTTCTTCCTGCTGACTGTTGACATTAGCATATGGTTTGATCCAGGCATTGATTTGTGTGTCTAATTCTTTTCCACACAGAATCAGAAAACTAAGGAAAGTAACCAAGTTATTTTATCTACAAAAGATGACAACTTTTCAGGTAAAAGAAAAATAAACCACCAGTTTTCTTTCCTGCATTTAACCATTCCTGTGAGACTTATATCCAGTATCTCCTGCGCCCACCACTATTGTGGGTTTTCATCCATGGAATTTAATGGATTGGGGGG